TTTGAGATGAAAGTTGTTACTTCAACCAATGCATTTTGCGCGGAGTGTCCAGCCCTAAATCTTAATTGGTAATCAGGAAGCGTCCAGGAATTCTACGAGTCTGTCCTTAAGGATCCTCTCATAGACTTTACCTAGGGTGTTCAATAAAGAAATAGGTCTCTACGATTCAGGGTTGGTGAGGGTTTTCCCTGTTTTGGGAATCATGACTGTGCTGGCCTACTTCCATGGAGTTGGAAAATAGCTCAACGAAAGAGATGCATTGATTATGTTGGTAAGCAACGGGACAATATTCTCTGAAAGATTTTTAAGGCATCTCCTGTGGATGCCATCAGGGCTAGGAGATGTGTTTTTTCCAATATTACACATCTGCCTGACGGTGTCCTCAGTCACAGGAGCCATCATCGGGTGAGGATGCGGCCCCAAATGTGCCTGAGGATAGTAGAATATGTCTTCCACTCTTCGTTCGGCATCCCTTTTGGATCGTTTGCTGGCTTCGGCCTTGTCTTGTGGATTGTTAAGAATGACGTTGTTAACTTTGAGATGTAATCATGGCTGACTTTTTTGTTTCGTTAAGGACGTTAGGACTTTAAGTTGAGTCCAGAATTTAGCACCCTCTCGGTAATCAAGGTCGGCTGTGACACGCCACCACTGTAATTGTTTCAGCCTGTTCACTGCCAACCTTATAACCGCCGGGAGTATGTTATACTCAGTTTTGATGAGGGGATCTCTGCATCTTTTATACTCTAAACGAAAGATTATTTTTGAAATCGATGAAAAAAAGGGCGCCAAAGATTTTATCAGACAGACTCTTTCTTGCCGTTCACCCCAACTGGAAGGATGGATCTTTGTTCAAAAACTGTCCACTTGGAATAAACACATCTAAGTGGACAAAGTAGACAAAAAACAAACTATTCTCATCGATGTTCAGCTGTGTCAGCCTTGTTTAGCAAGATGTTTCTGAACAGGAGTTAATTAAATTAACGAGTCACTCAAATGCACTCTACAATCATATCTGTAGCTAGATTCAAGTTATCACCAGAAGTTCATTGAAAATTTCAGAAAAAATATTATTCGATAGAAAATTATTTACCGGGAAAATTTTCTTCTGGTTTTATTTAAGTTAAGTCTCATGATTTAACTGTCAAAATGTATTTTTTCTTCAAACGTCAAATAATGATGACATTACTTATCTAACTTGATCCCGTCAAAGTTTGATGTCTCCGCCGGCAGCAGTTTTTTTTCCCCATTTCTTAACGGCGCAGGGAAAAATGTCATGGCAACAATATGAAACATGTCACAAAGCAACAATACAAATGTCATTAACAACAATTAAACATTTTTATTTGTAGTAATATTAAATGTACAATTAGTTAATGAGGCATTTTCAAAATTTAAACCGTGCAAAAATGTTCCCGACTCTTGATACGCGTTGGTAATTGTTGATGATACTGATGTTCGAGAACAACTTTCAGCAATCATTCCCGATGTTGGCGAATCATGAAGGTTTAAAATTTTTTGAGCATTATCGTTCTTATTTCTTATTAAATCCTCTATATATCCTTCGGCAACCGTTCTTGATTTCCAGCCCCCAATCCGTTTAAGGCATTCTAGATTTCCGCCTCCATCAATTAAAAGTGTTGCTGAAGTTCGTCGTAAAGAGTGACCCGTGTATGCGCTTGCATCGTTTAAATTTAAATAACTAGCTACTTTTTGGGCTACTACGCTGATAGAATGTATTCCCATGACGCTTCGGTAACACTTTCCATTTTGGTACTTGATAAAAAATCGGTTTTCTGTGAAATTTTCAGGCCGCAGTGATGCATACTTTTTATACAGTTTAATGCAGTTTTGACCAATTATCGTAAAAGATCTAATTTGTCGTGTTTTACTGTCTGGGATTTTGATAATTATTACATTTTCTTTATCCTCAATGTCCACAGTCTGCATTTTTACCATTTCGTCGCATCGACAGGCGAAGGCCTTTTATCCTAAATACAACTTATCTGGCGCTTCAAACAAAAATTTATCAAACTCGTCTTTAGTGAAAACTTTAGACTTCTTTGCAGTATATCCTTCGCTTGTTTTTTTCAGAAAGGCACGTAACTTTAAAAATTTGCTTATATCTACATTTTTTCTAATAACTAACTCGGATTTTATCAGTGACCACATTATAGAAGATTTTCATTTATTTTCATTTTCCATTATATTAAAATATGCCAGTAAAACGTCTTCGGTAACTTGCCGTACTTCTCTTGTATCGCACCACTCTTGGAAGTGCTTGTACGCTAACCGATACTTTATTCCGGACTTGGAGGGCCCCAAACGTGCTACTGCATCATTAACCGCGGACTCAATTTCGTTTAGGTTTTCCATTTTCGTACTAAATTTGCGCTTGCTGTTGCAACAACAATAAGCTGTCTTTAATAATTGCAAACAACTGTCAAATTACTGTAACAAGGGAGACGCAAATCCCACCGACCACTTTATTATTTTAATTTCTAACATCTAGACGACTTTGATAGTTGTCACAGTTAATTTGGAGTAAAAATAGCGTATGAAAATTGCTAAGTTTGAAGAAAAAATAGTATACTTTATTCGGCAAAGAAGCGACTTTTCTTGACTTGCCCTCATTACGCGCCTCACTTCGTTCGGCGCGTAATATCGGGCGCGTCAAGAAAAGTCATGCTTCTCCGCCTCATAAAGTAATATACTATTGTAAAAATTGTTAGGCAACAAACTTTCATACCACCTTTTTTTTAGACATATTTGGTAAATTTTCTTTACTTATATGCAAAAATTCTCCTCTTATTTTTATTCAGACCATACTTAGTTTTGATTACTTATATAAGCAAAAATATAGCAAATATAGCAAAAATAAGAATAGCAAAAAATGAATGGCTTAAGCAACAATGTATCGATCTAGAACATTTACAAAGACAACACGACGACCGTAATTTACATAAAAAGCTTAAGGAGACTGCTGGAATATACAGAAAACGAAGACCAACTACCATAGTTAATCAGGATAACCAGATAGTGCTGGGTGAAAAGGAGAAAATTGATATATGGGAAAATTATATCCAGGAGCTCTTCCATGACGAAAGACCCATGAGTGAAGTTTATACAGACGACCAGCTGACTGGCCCTTCAATCACCAAAGAGGAGATAGAAAAAGCAATATTTAATTCAAAAAACAATAAGGCACCTGGACCAGATGAGATCCCGTCAGAAATACTCAAATTACTAGATGAAAGGGGAATTTCAGCACTACACAAAATATTTAATTTAATTTATGAAACTGGCTGCTATCCTCAACAGTGGTTACGCTCTACCTTTATTCCCCTGCCCAAGAAAGTCAATGCAAAAAGATGTGAGGATCACAGACTCATTAGCCTGATGAGTCACACTTTAAAGATATTCTTAAAAATACTACATCAAAGATTATACGAAAAATGTGAATGGGACATCAGTGATTCCCAGTTCGGGTTTAGGCAAGGTTTAGGAACACGAGAAGCAATAGTAGCAACACAGGTACTGGTCCAAAATTGTTACGATCAGAGGAAGGATGTGTTCCTATGCTTTTTAGATTACAAAAAAGCGTTTGATCGTGTCCAACACCACAAGTTAATGCAGATTCTCAAGAAAGTTGATATAGACCAAAAAGACATAAGATGCATTGAAAACTTGTACTGGCATCAAACGGCACAGCTAAAAATAGACAATTCTATATCTAAGCCCATACATATAAGAAGAGGCGTTCGACAGGGATGTGTGCTTTCCCCTCTTTTATTTAACATTTATTCAGAAGCCATATTTCAAGAGTCTTTGGAGGATGCAGAGATGGGAATCAAGGTGAATGGAGTATTGATCAACAACATACGATATGCTGATGATGGTGTCTTAATTTGTGACAACATAGTCGATCTTCAACAACTTGTCACTATAATCGGAGAATACAGTGAGCGAATGGGACTAGAGATTAATACCAAAAAGACCAAATTCATGATCATCTCCAGAAACTTGGATGCATTTGAAAACTCCACCATAACACTGAATAGTAAATCCATAGAAAGAGTGAGTAAATTTAAATACCTGGGATCGTGGCTTTTTGAAGACTGGGCATCGGACAGGGAAGTAAAATGTCGCATTGAGCAAGCTCGACAAGCTTTCATAAAATTCAAGAAGGTAATGACTTGTTCTGAGTTCGATCTTCACCTGAGACTAAGGTTTACTAAGTGCTACGTATGGTCAGTGCTGCTATATGGCGTAGAGGGCTGGACACTCAAAACGAGGGATATAAACAGATTGGAAGCTTTCGAAATGTGGCTTTATCGCCGTATCCTAAAAATACCATGGACAGCGAAAATCACAAATATAGATGTCCAAAAAGAATAAACCAAGAACGCCAACTTTTCGAAACCATCAAGAAAAGGAAAACGGCGTATCTAGGTCACATCATGCGGAATGAAAAATACCAGTTCCTCCAACTTATAATCGAGGGTAAAATTGAAGGCAAGAGAGGAATGGGACGCAAGAAAATGTCCTGGCTCCGAAACATAAGGCAATGGACAGGGATTAACGACATACAATCTCTGATACATATTGCAAGAAATAGAGAGTTAATGGAAAATGTGATCGCTAACATCCATTAGTGGATTTGCATCTGAAGAAGAAGAAGAAGATTACTTATATGCACAATTTGTATTTTTGTACGAAACTAGTTTAAAATGTTTACACAGCATTAATGAAGAATTGCGGAATGCAGAAATCATATTTTTTGTATAATTAAACAAATATTACCGGTATCTAATTTGTTAACCAAATTTAAAAAACATTTTAAATGTAATCACGTAAGCCGATATAAATATCTCTAATAAATTCATAAAAACTATACCAGGTTTTGGATTTTCCAAGAACACTCATCAAATTATACAATAAAATCTCTTTTTTATCAGTGAAAGAGTAGTCGTAGATGTCTTAACATGTTCCGTTTGTTGCAGATAAACATTTGTAGTGCCGGTCTGTGCCCATGATTTCTGCAGGCGTGGAGGGAAGACTGCCTTATATGACTTATCCAGAGCCTTGGAGAGGTCCCCCGAAACAACCGTCGGAGTTGTTTCTTCGGCCTGCTCCGAAGCCCTTGCCTCCAACAACAAGGTAAGCCGCAAATCTGACTAGTATTAAAAGTTTGAATCGTCTCTGGATAAACGTAAGCTTAGATATCTATGCTTAAAAAATATACATTCTGTATGTTGATGATATGAGTTAATTTCCCGTTCCTACGATAGCTCCAATTAATTTCTGATCTTTCTTTTGTTAGTCTTTATGCATGCTTAGCCCTTTTCCTTGTAACATTACCTTTTTTTGTCATCTTCTGGACCATCCAAGTCTTATTTTACTAGTTTTTTTTGTGGTTGGATCGTTTTTTTTTTCATTTATATCTACTATACACAAAAAAGGCAGAAGAATATACGCAAAAGTAATTAAAAACAGAATAGAAAGCGAATATAAAGACATAGAGGCTGAGGAACAGGCAGGATTTAGGACAGGTAGATCTACTGTTGACCATTTGTTTTGCATTACACAGATTATTAAAAAGAAAATAGCCGTTAATCAAGAAGTACATTTATTGTATGTAGATCTACGAAAGGCTTATAGTTCCGTTAAATTGTATTTTTGCTAGGAAAGTTTTGGGGTAGTTCTGATTTTTTCATTCCATATGTTTTTGGGGTGCTTAATCCGAATCTGGGGTTTGCGGACAAAATTTTGTGACGCAATATTAAAAAAAAAACAGAATAAACCGTTTTTTTTTATTTTTTCGGGTTTTTTGCTTAAAACTCGAAAACTATCAACTTTTGGTAAATGGTCTGTTTACAGAAATTAAAGTACTTAAAATTTTCTACAAATACCAGTATTTAGTTTTTTTTTTTCAGACAAATCGTTCGGTTTCTAGTGCGAGTTGAAAATTGTAAATTTTTAGCAGTTTATGCAAAACCCACTTTTTACACTTCAATATTTAATTTTTATAAATGCTGCCATTTGATAAATGGGTTTTCCGCACAAGTAATTAAAAAGAAAAAAGGCAAAAATTATGCAAATTCAGTAGGTAGGTAAAACTCGTAACAAAATAAAACTTAAAATCTCGTTACTTATGATCATATATTATTATGATTATAAATTATAATATGCAAAGTTTATATGAGCCGTTGTCTTTTGGAAGGCCCTGGCTGAGGTTCTTCGATAACGATGAGTCCTGGTTCTGGTTGTTCTGGAAAATAAAAGTTTAAAGTTAAGTCATTTATCAAGAAGAGATGAAGATTGCAAAATAGATTGTGAGATTAAACATACCTTCCGCATCGTACTGAGGTTCTTTGATGGCATCGGGTCCTGGCTCAGGGTCTGATTGCTCCATCGTCAGCGTCGGGAGTCGTTCTCCTGGAAAATAAAAAAAAGAGACACATATCATATATCAAGGAGAGATGAATGACTACAAAATAACTTGTCAGATCCAACATACCTCTATATCTTTCCTCAGTTTCTTCTACGTCTATGTCAGAGCTGTCTTCTGGGGGCTCAACATTGTTACACAGTCCTTCGCATGATGCACATATTGGGGAACCATGGAGTCCCGCCTTCCTGCATCCACAATTGCGTTGACAGCCCTTTTCACATTTGCATGAAATGTACCGTAGTAATGAGTTTGGTGCAGGGTCCAAAGTAGTTGGTACTGGCACAAGACCACTACTAGTTTTTTGCCATCTCCATTCACTTGGGTCTTTTTGTTGCTCGTTAGGTGTGGCTTGACCGAATAACCACTGCTGCACCTGATAGTAAACTCTCAGTAAATGTTCTCGTGCAGCAGATTCAGTTGGGGGCAATGAGGAAATGTTGGTCTTATTTTTGAATGATGAAGATACGTATTGTTTATATCTTAAATCGTTTAGTTTAGCAATTGCAAATCTTTCTTCTGCTGCAGGACTTTAAGAAATTTCAGTTTCCCTTGATTAAACTGTATTTCCCAATGCAGAAGTAGTACCACAACCGCTCATCGCATTCAGGAATAAAATATGATCCAATAGGATTTTCTCAGCAGTCAGATAAGGGTTGTAGAGCCTTTGCGAAACCTTTCCTATTCCTGGCTTAAAAAAAATACATTTTTTATATCAGGGTACAAAGGCCAATCAAAATGACCAGTAGGTCGATATCTTCCCCCACCACTGTCACATGTTCATTTGACGGGGCCATCTCAAGAGCTGTTGTGATAATTAGGATATCAGCATCTTCCATAGCTTGCTTTGAATGAATTTTTACATCATGAAGTTTCTCCATTAACATAGATATAAACCGGCTCTTGTTTTTTGGGATTGCAAGAAAACTATTCTGCGACACAGTGGGCACCATCATTTCTGTAAATGATATTGCAGCAGATTGTTTTCTTTGTGCTTTTTTCAATTGTTCTAAACGCTTGGTGCTACCACAAGCCTCGTCAGGGTAGCCATTAAAAACGACAATAGTACTTGATTTGTAGTTTGATTTGACATATGATACATAACTGCTGCATATGTCTGACCTTGGCGCCATTTTACCCGGTGTAACAAACAATCCCCGTCGATGACATATTTTGTATCGTTAATACAAATCTAAAAAGTGGGTTTTGCAGTCACACCGGTACCAATTGCCAATTTTCAACTTGCACTTGAGACCGAACGGTTCGTCTGTACAATAACCAAAATAGTGACATTTGTACAGAACTTTAAGTACTTTAATTTCTGTAAACAGAACATTTACTAAAAGTTAACAGTTTTCGAGTTTTAAGGAAAAAACCAAAAAAAAGCAAAGAAAAACAACCGATTTCTTCTGGTTTTTTAAATGTTGCGTCACGAAATTTTGTCCGCAAACCTCAGATTCAGATTTAGCACCCCAAAACACATATGTAATGAAAAAATCAGAACTTCCCCAAAACTTTCCTACTAGTATCACTTTAAAGTACAAATTTACTGAATCATTATGATAGCGTACCACATTATAAATTGTGGGAAACGTTAGAGAAAACAAACATAAGCATGAATTTAATAAATGCGACGAAGGAACTGTACGCTAATGCTAACTCAAAGATAAAGGTTGGAAATTATGTGTCAAGTGGATTCCAAATAAATAAAGGCCTTAAGCAGGGATGCTGTCTCTCCCCGACATTATTTAAAATTTATCTAGAACAGGCTCTAAAATTGTGGAAGTGCAAATGTAGAAATATGGGAATGCCGATTAACAACAATAGCATATAGACTTTGTCATTTGCAGATGATCAACTAGTGATAGCACAAGATTATGAAGATATTGACTATATGTCTCTGAAAATAATCAAGGAGTATAAAAAATGGGGACTTGAAATCAATATTCGAGGATTGATTTTTGAGGATTTTGTAGGTGGTGTTTAGAAGTGTTATTCCCCTGTAGTTAATACATTGCTTTTTGTTTCCTTTTTTGTGTATTGGTTCAATAACCCCTTCTTTCCATTCATCTGGCATTGTTTCTTCACGTCAAGTGTCTTGAATTAGCTTGTGTATAGAACTGTACAACGCTTCTCCTCCATGTTTTAAGCACTCTGCTGGTATACCATCGCTACCTGGTGTCTTATTATTTTTAATTTTTTTAATTGCCTGTATTACTTCTTCGTATGTCTGGTATTGGTCTTTTATTTCAGCTGTATGTATCTCTATGTTTATGTATTTCTGCTAGATTGGTCGTTCAATAGTTGATAGAAGTATTCCTTCCAGGTTTTTAGGATTTCCTTGTCATCCGTGATAAGCTGCCCGCTGTCATTTTGAAGGAAGTTTCCTGTTCTTCTTCTTCTTCTATTTTTTTTGAACCTATTCTCTATCCTTCCATTGTTGGATATAGGTCTCCCCCAGTTCTCTCCAGCTTTCCCTATCTTGAGCTGTTCTCTGCCATGTGGGACCTCCTTGTTTCCTGATGTCATCTTTCCACCTAATCTGTGGTCTGCCTCTTGATCTCTTTGCATTTTATGGACGCCACTTTCCGATGGCATTGTTCCATCGTCCGTCTTGGAGACGTTCATTGTGTCCAGCCCATTTCCATTTCAGTTTTGCTGCTTGTTCTATCGCGTCTACTGTCTTTGTTCTGGTTCTGATCCACTGGTTACGTTTTCTATATTTAAGTGATATACCCAACATTTGTCCCTCCATCGCTCTTTGTGCTTTCCTTATCCTTTCCAAATTGGCCTGTGTAAATGTCCATGTCTGTGCTCCGTAGGTGAGCACCGGTATTATACAAGAGTTATATACCTTGCTTCGTAAGTATAGAGGGATTGTTTGATTTTTTAGAACGTAAGAAAGTTTGCCGAATGCTGCCCATCCCAGTCTTATTCGTCTCGATATTTCGGCTGTTTGATTTTCTCTGTTAGCTCTGATTGCTTGTCCTAAACAGATTTACCTGTTCTATTTTTTTCTGTTTGTATTTTTATTGCCTCTTGGTCTTCCGTGTTTGTCAGTACTTTTGTTTTGTTGAAGTTAATTTTTAGATCATTTTTAGAACTGTATAGGTCTGTGTAATATCTTTCTGTGATTTTTACTATTTCTCCTAGATCTCTTTCTTCATTGTTCTCAGCTGATTAGTTTTGTTTTTCCTATATTTGTCTTCATTGTTTTTAAACTTTTGTTCTTCTCTATGACTTTCTTAATGCGATCTTCTTGGTATTTCTTTAAATCTTCCTTTATCTGTTTTCTTATGGTTTTGTTCAGTTCGGTAAACTCCACTGTATTTCTTTTGTTATCATTCAGGAGTTGTCGTTTTTTTAGCATATCTTGTGATTTAGCGCAAATTTTTTGTTGTTTTCGTTTTTGTTTATTAGCAATCTTCAGGCCTGCTTCTAGTAGTTCTGTTGTCATTTTATCGTTTAATTCGTCTAGTTGCAAACCCTTTAGCTGTGATATATCACTTCTTTTTAGCTGGTTTATGTATTGTTCTTTGCGTTCTTTAAGAAGTTCTGTATATGTCTCTTTTTTAGATGGCTTAAATTTTTGTCTGTCTGTTGTGGCGTTAATTTTGATTTCGGCTCTAACAATTCTGTGATGACTTCCTACGGAAATCATGTTTATGACCGTAACGTCTTGTACTATGTTCTTTTCTTTGGATAGGATGTAATCAATCTCATTTTTTGTTAGACCATTGGGCGCGACCCACGTTCATTTTCTACGTGGTTTTTTATTGAAAAAGGTATTCATCGCATATAGACCGTTCGTTTCCATATAATTTGTATGATCTCTAAACTTATATTTTTATTTATGTCCATTATTAAAGCCGCGATCCTTTCTGAAATTCTTCTTCTATATCTCTGATTATTTGTTCCTGATACTCCCGTTTCTTCCTTTTCATTAGTTATCTCGTCTCTGTTCTTCTTTGTACTTGTATTTGAAAAATACGAGAAAAAACTTGAGGCAACGGAAATGGATTTCTGGAGACGTTCAACTGGAAAATCTAGACTAGAAAGAGGAACAAACAGCAGAATAAGATAAATTATGAAAGTAAAATATACAATAAATAAAAGAAAGAGACATATGGATGAATAGAGAGGAGTGGGAACTGGCTATCGGAAGACGTTGAACGTTTTAAACCAATCTAGATATATCTTATTATTTTTGACTGTTTTGCTCTTCTAATGCCCAATAGGAAATTTGATATCTAGTGTCCTTTTCCTTTCTTTTCTGCTCTCTTATTGGATACGGTTGTATTAGTTTAGGTTAAAAGGCTCTAGTCGATTTGTTTGCCTTCTATTACTTTATTGTGTACTAAGTGTAAGTTTTTCTGTGGCTTTTCCTCTTGTTATCTTTAAATATTGCTTAGTGTTTAGTGCTTCTAACTTTTATTTCCCATTTTTTTCTTTAATAGTATTTAACTTTATTTCTGGCTGTTTCTCGTTCTTTTTTTCAGACACTCCCTTTACTACTACATGGCTTCTTCTTACTTCCATCTTTGGGGATTGTATTTTTTACGAAAGAAAGTTGTTTGATGCCTTTCGCTTGTGTGACCCATTGTTGTTCTAATTTTTGCTTTAGTCTGGACCAATAAAATGTCTTTAAGTCATTTTATAATTGTCATATGTTAATTTTTTTCGTAGATGTGTGATTTGTTTGGATATTCCCTGTATATTGTTGCAGTAGTAGATTAAAACAAAAAAAATCATAAATATTTACTTTTCGACATGCTAATAATGCCCGTTTTTTTTTTATTTCAGTAGATATAATGGTGTTACCACCACGTATCCCAACGGCACCCGACTAGCTCCACCGCCTCGACCAGTCAGCAAGTATCCCTCACCACCAGCAACGATCACTGCTCCCGTAAATCTAGTTCAATCCAAAGAGGAAATCACAGAAGATATGTCACCGTACACCACTTACAGGATGTTTCCCCCAACTCCCCAGTACACACACTTCCCCTATCCCACCTTGTGCCAACCCCCCTACTTGCAGATGAGGACTAGTTTCGCCACAACACCCTTATCTCCTTTAGAAACATATTCTCCAACCACGCCGACGGTGACGGCCTCGTTTCTTACGCCACCAAATTCGTACAGTCCTCCGACTAGTATAAAACCCGTTAGTACTAGTTTGAGGCCAACGACTCCTTCTGGATTGAAACCAGCGACTATTGTGAGGGATGCGAGGGAGAAGAAGACTCCTCCTTTACAGACGCAAGTCATCAACGCTCAGAACCTCAATTCGCAAAATTCATCGTTTAAGGTTAGTATATGAATGTAATCAATCATGGAAGGGAAACACTGTAAAGTTAGAAAAGATCAGAAGTTTATTTTGTCTTCTTTTTTGATATACTTTTAAAAAACTATTATTATAAAAGTTCCAAAATAAATAGTTTATTTCGAATTTGTAAATAGCAGGTGGCTGGTGAAGCTGGCTTATAGTTCAGGCAGTTGATTTACGTCAAGTATTCCTTATGTTATAAAAGCATAACAATTATTTAATTCAAAAATATATGAAATTGATAACCGAGTAAATGCAAGAATACCCGGAGAAACAAATAGGAGCACACCAAGCAGGATTGAGGAACAATCAACAACAATCAATGTGAACATATTACAAGTATATGCACCTACACAAGACTATGAACAAGCAGAAATTGAAAAATTCTATCATGATTTAGAAAAAGTATTAGCACCTACAAAGAAACACGATCTCAATATTATCATGGGAGATTTTAATGCAAAGATTGGTGAAGGTGAACAGGAAGATATCATAGGAAAATATGGTCTGGGGAATACGAAATGAAAAAGAAGATATGTTGGTATCTTTTTGTGTAGAAAAGCAATTAGTAATAACAAACACAATTTTCAAACTTCCAAAACGTCGTCTTTACACCTGGAAATCACCAGCAGATACACCTGAACGAGTTGTTCGTAACCAAATAGACTTCATATGTATAAATAAGAGATACAAAAATTCAGTATTAGCAGTAAAAACATATCCAGGCGCAGATGTACCAACAGATCACAATATTTTACTAGGAAAAATAAGACTGAGATTAAAAAGAGTTGCAAGGACGAATAAGTAAACAGTTACTATTGATAGAGAAAAGATGCTAAATGATACTGTAAAACAAGAAATAACTAGCATATTAGAACAAAAAATGAAGTTAACATCAGGCAAAGAGGAAAGTACTGAGGAAAACTGGACGAGAATTAAAGACATCTTAAAGACTGTTCAAGAAACAAAATTGAGTGCGCTAAAAGCAAGAAAAAAACAAGGGTGGATGACAGAATTAATACTGAGACTTATGGATCAAAGAAGAGAAGTCAGAAATAAAGATAAAAACGAATACAAGAGGATCCACGCAATAATCAGGCAGAAGATAAGACACACGAAAACACAATTTCATAGTAAAGAATGTAATGAAATTGAACAATATGAAAAGAAACACGATACATTTCATCTGCACAAGAAATTAAAAGAGGTCGCTGAAAACAAACGGAAACAAGTATCCCAAAGTTTAGAAGACAGAAACGGACACAGAATATTAGACATCAATAAGCAGTTAAAAGAATGGGAAAACTATATTTCTGAATTACTTGAAGATGAGAGAGTAGAACACGATACACCGATTGCTATATCAGGTCCATCTATAACAGAAAGTGAGGTTACGCGTTCAATACAAACAGCAAAAAATGGAAAAGCACTTGCCCCCGATGAAGTCAGTGCTGAAATACTAAAGTTCTTGGGAGAAAATGGAATTAAAGCTCTGTGTAATCTCTTTAACAGAATTTATGACACTGGGATATTAAAAACTGATTGGTTAAAGTCGACATTTGTCACAATACCTAAGAAACATCGTCCAAAGACATGCGGTGATTATCAAATAATAAGTCTGATGAGTCACGTTTTGAAGATCTTCCTGCGAGTAATACACAGCAGAATTTACACGCTGTTAGGACAGGACAGAAGTAGCAATACTAATTTTGGGTTTAGGAGTGGCGTGGGTACAAGAGAAGCTTTGTTTAGTATACAGGTGCTAGTACAGAGATGCAGAGATATAAAACAAAAAGTGTACATTTGTGCAATTGATTTTGAAAAGGCTTTTGACAAAGTCCGACATAACAAAATGCTAGAAATATTGGAAACGAATAATTACAAATTTATACTGGCATCAAGTGACAAGAATAAAGGTTGAACAAGAACTGTCAGATGAAATAAATATAAAAAGAGGAGTTAGACAAAGCTGTATATTTTCGCCTTTACTTTTTAACTTATATTCGGAGGAAATATTTAAGGAAGCCTTAATGGAGACAACCGAAGGTATTATTGTGAATGGAGTAACCGTCAACAATATTAGATATGCCGACGATACCTTAGTGCTTGCTAATTGCAGAGAAGACCTTCAAAATCTAATGAACAAAATAAAACAGACTTGTGATCAGTATGGATTAAAACTCAACGTTAAGAAAACTAAATATATGATAGTTAGCAAACAAAATTATATACAGGACTCTAACTGAGGCTATTTTTAAACGCTTGACAGCCTTTGAGATGTGGGTATACAGACGACTACTGAAAATAAGTTGGGTCGACAGAGTTAGAAATGAGGAGGTTATTAGTCGGCTGAACCAATCAACACAACTGGTCAATATAATAAAGAAACGCAAGCTGGAATACTTCGGTCACATTATGAGACACCCTGAAAAATATGATCTTTTACATCTGATCATTCAGGGAAAGATCCAAGTTAATCGTGGTCCTGGTAGAAGAAGAACATTATGGCTGAAAAATCTAAGGCAATGGTATGGAAAATCAACTACATCGTTGTTTAGAGTTGCTGTCAATAAAGTCACGATAGCGAATATGGTAGCCAACATGATATCCAACGATCGATAACGGTCATGGAACTAGAAGAAGAAGAAGCAGGATTTAGGAGTGAGAGTTAAGCTCTTAGTAAGAGTAAAACCATGCTGTTGCAATTTTGTAACTTTTTAAACACAAACATAAATCCAACTTACTCAAATGAGAAATGGCTTCATTAGTAGCCAACAAGAAATCTTCGTGATTGCCTTCGTAATCCCTAAGTTGGTACACCTCCAATAAATTTTATATCTTTTGTCTTATAACACCACAGCCACACAGAAAATGATAGTTTACCGCACTTGGTTAGGAATTCTGCACATTTGCCATAGTTTGTGCAAACTCTGTTGAGACATGTCCATGTATTTCTTAACAGTTTAGAGCCAGGAGATTTTTGTGTTTTTTATCGTATATTTTGAATTTGTGGACATGATTTTTTTGACCATTCCCTCTCCTAAGAAGTGACAACATCAAACTTTGTTTAGACAGTTTTTTGACCATTACTAGGGTGATTGACTGGACTTCAGTATTTGCCCCTGAAAGGTTACAAAGGTCTTCTTAGATCGGCAGTTGATAGTTGTTAGTAATTTTTTTATAATTCCTCATAAGAGCATATTTTCTTCGAAGATCTGGTGGAGGGCTGTAGCTGAGAAGAAACAGCTATTAAAAGGGGGTAGACCTAATAGTGCATGTAATAATTCGCATGAATTATCACAGGCACAGATTCAGTTGTACTTTCAATTTTGTTGGTGTGAACATAGAAATGGTATATTCAGCTGCCTAAAAGACAAGATAATTGCAGATACTTGTAGGTTTTGGCTGAAAGCCGCTACGTAGTGCCTAAAAAACAAGTCAAGTGCAGATATTTGTAGATTTTGGCTAAAGATCGCTACGTACTGCTACATATCGTGGAGTAAATTGTTTCGGATTCCAATTTTAGTAGAAAGTTCTGTTAGATGTTCTTTGAATATCAATTTCTTATCTAGTATGACACTTAGATACTTCGGAAATCTGTTTTAGTGTTGGATGGATATTATTCAGTCATCTGTCTATCCAAATGTCTTAGATTGCGTGTTTGACATATCTATAATGTACAGGCTAAATCAAATCAGTGCCAAGACATGGCCAGAGGGGAGTCCATTACTTATTTTTTTAATTTCATCAATATAGCTTTACAATCCTATGCAGATCTTCAAAAATAGTACTCATCGTCTCTATCCATTACCTTCTCACGTTTCTCATATCTTCTTCGATGTTATCAATGAATCTTTTTCTGGAACTTCCTCTTCTTCTCTGCGCCCAATAGGTCATCAAGGAATGTGTTTCTTACTGGATAATTTTGTTACATCCGCATTACATGTCCTATCCACTGCAAGGTTATATTGTACTTTGTTTGATGATACTTGGAATATTCTGTACAGTTGTATCGTCTTCACCATACACTACCTTCATTCAGCGTTTCGCAAATTCTTCTCACTACCTTCATCTTAAAATATCCTAAACTGTTTTAACTGCATTTTGAGACTCCAGGTCTCTGAACGGAATGTTAGAACTGGCTGCATTATTTTTTTTTTAATAAAAATAACGACAGAAGCAACAGAAAACGAAATCATTTCGCTCTTTAGTGGAAAGTAGAACCTTTCTTCCTCGTAAGAATAAGAAAAATTTGGATTGAAAATAATAAAAGTCTAAAATTACTAAAAGAAACCAAAAATATGGAGTTTTAGCAATACTTTTCGAATGCATTTAGTAGTATAAAGTAGAAGATTGGAAAATTAGACAAAAATTTAAGACGGTAGAAAGAATTAAAGATGTGCTTCGAAATGCAATAAGTTTATTCTTTTCGACTAGAAATATAATTTGTAGTTTCATAATTTTTGTTCTTAAGTTCTCGACCTCCAAAGCCTGTTGAGCTAACTAAATAACTAACTGTATGTTACAGGTGCCTTCAGGTAAGGAAGGTTCGTTGAAGCACAGAATTTTGATCCGACCTGACGAAATTAGTCCGAGGGGCGCTCCCTTAGATCTCCAAAAACCCACAGAGGGAAGAAAGCGGCTCCTGGCGACGGCCAATACGACTGCAACCATGTCGCCGCCAAGGTCACCTAGAAAACCCTTAAACAATAATACCATAACCGGGAGTTTTGCCAAAGGATCTTTAATTCAACTGCACAGCGGCGAGATGAGGAGGATAGAAGATTTGCGAACTGAAGATTTCATCTTGTCAGCTGCCAAAAGTGCCGAGGTTAAGTTAGCGGAGAGTACGGTTGTTAAGATCGAGGATAACCAGCAGCTGGGCAACACCACGATTACGCTTACCTACAATAACAGGCGAGATCAGGTAGGTCTCATTATAATATTTTTTAAATATGCACTAATTTCGAATAACACTTTGTCCAAAGGGTCTAAAAATAGTAGTAGAGTTAAAATAATGAGAGTCCTATCTCATCTTTGTACGCACAGGTGACGATCTGTGCACGTGTAACTCTAAGCACTTTAATAATTTAGAATAGAAAAAAGTTTCTTATTAATTATTCATATTTGCGAAGATCTAACAACAGCCGAACATTTTAAACACCTGAGTGATGATGCTGTCGGCAAATTAACCTACCTCTTTAACATTATATATGAACATGGCACTCTACCGCATGACTGGCTAACATCCACATATGTAGCTCTTCCTAAAAAACAAAAAGCAAGGAAATGTGAAGACCTTCGAACATTCACAATAAGTGTGAAGAATACCTGAGTCGTTCTCAATATGGTTTTAGGAAAGGTACAGGCACCAGAGAAGCAATAATGGGATTGACACTAATTGCAGAGAGGTATCTCGAGGTTCAAAAACACCTTTATGTGTGCTTTGTCGATTATAGAAAGGCCTTCGACCGCATTAGACACGAAAAATTGATTAAGGTGCTAAAAGAAGTAGGGCTGGACGAACACGACATAGCTATAATAAGCAATACATACTGGAACCACACAGGATGTGTTCGAACAGACAACGAAAATACCAATTATGTAAACATAGAACAAGGAGTGCGTCAAGGGTGCATTATGTCCCCTCCTCTATTTAATGTCTATGCCGAAAATATCATCAGAGCTTCTCTTGAAGATCGCCCTGAAGGTGCCAGAGTCAATGGAATCATCATTAACAATGTAAGATATGCTGATGACACCGTAGTGTTAGCAGAAACAGAAGACCAACTAAAAATATTGATGAACATACTATCAGAAGAAAGTCACAGACTAGGTTTGGATATTAATCTTTAAAAAACCAAAATCATGGTATTCCACAAGAACCCCCATGAACAAATTACACCCAACATACAAATCAATGGTATTACCCTTCAGAGCTCCCAAAGCTTCATATACCTGAGCAGAGAGCTAAACAGTCAGCTAGACCACTCAAAAGAAATTAGAAGACGTATTGAAATAGCAAGATCTGGCTTCATGAACATGCGTAAAATGCTCTGTAACCCCAAGCTATCAATCACAATAAGGTTAAGAACACTAAAGTGTTATGTGTGGTCTCTACTACTATATGGCTGTGAGACCTGGACATTAAAACAGTATGACATCAACAAACTGAATTCATTCGAAATGTGGATGTACCGCCGAATGCTAAGAATAAGCTGGACCAGCAAAACTACAAATGAAGAGGTACTGGAAATAATGAACACACGACCTCATCTGGTTAATACAATCAAAATTAGAAAGACGTAATATCTAGGACACATAATGCGCCATAAGGAATTTGAGCAGCTCCAGGTAATATTAGAAGGCAAAATCGAGGGTAAAAGGGGTATAGGAAGAAAGAAGAAATCCTGGCTCCAAAACAACAGAGATTGAACTCACACAACAGGAAATGACTTAATCCATCAAGCCCAGAACAGAGAGAAATTTGCCATATTGATCGCCAACCTCAATAGAGAAGGCACTTAGGAGGAGGAGGATTGATATTGGTGTTTATTAAGAAAATTAAGTTGTTTTGTGAGCTTGTATGCCATCTTTATATTAGTAACAGAAAAGAATCTTTTATCTTGCCAAACAGCCGTGTCATCTTTATTAAATATGAGAAATATAATGTAAAACGACGGATTTGTGTAAATATGGTTGACAAATTTAAGTATTACATCTCTCCTATTGCTTCATTCTTCCCACGGAAGTCAAATGCTCTTTGATCATCTTTCTACATTAGCTATAAAGTTATTTTTAACCATAATAAATAACATAAAAATGCATATGCAGGATTATTTACCGCTACCTACATAGTAAATGCCAACAACCACATATCTGACGATAGTTTGCAGATATTTTGCGATTTTATGAAACATAAACAAAGTTTATTATAATTTTTATTACTGTTGAACTATTAAAATAAATATTAGTTTTATTTGGAAAAACCACTGTATAGACAGTGATTTTTTTTATCCAGGACTTTGTTATCGAACGTAGAGTGAATTGAAAGTCACTTTCTAGCAGTGAGGTCACGTCTTTATTTTCTTGAACAATTAAAGCAGAATATATTACATCTAGTGAGATTTTGAACATCTTTTGTACTATACCAAGAACGGATGGTAAAAAAAGAAAAATCAAAGAAGCGGCTCTAATTATGCTAAATGAGGCCAATTGTGCCGCAAATTCCTCCGGTAGAATGTAGTAGGATCTGGTTACCAATAATGAAAGAGGAAGTTATTAATAAGAAAATACCATTATTGGTAAGTCAGTAACATATAGAGGATACATCATTTATGTTTTTTAAATAACGAAACATATAAAATCAGAATTTTGGTGTTTATTGAAGGTAAACTAAATGCACGAACAAATACTTACCATGTCGGGATAGTATTATGAGGTTTTTTCCTGGTTTTTCCCTCATAATTTACTATGGAATCACTAACAGGAGAATTCTACTGTCATCATGTCATGTGTTTGTCTTTTTAAAGACGAATTACATGCTATGATTTTTTTTGACGGATATTCTCAAGTTAAAGTTGATTTCATGTAATCGAATGAACTATCTTATAAGTAAAGTCGTCACAGGAGCGCAACTCAACAATATTGGCAATATCCTTTTAAAGTCGTCTACTTTAAAATACATAATGTATGTCTGAATTGTTAATATAAATGAGTCAGATAAAATTAAATTATTAGAAGAATTTTTCACTATGTAACAAAAAACAAAATTTGTTTAATTTACTGTTTGTATTTTGAGAACGATTTCCGAAGTGGAAATTGAAACGTCAATAAACGTATTTTTATCTTTAATTGTGGCTTATTCCCAGTTAAATAGTAATTTACATGTTTTAAACAACCAAAAAGACGTCTCTATACATGGATATCACCGAGAGATGGCCTTCTTCTTCTTTAAGTTCCATCTTCTATCGAAGGTTGGAAATCATCATGGCTATGCGGACTCTGTTGACTGCCGCTCTAAAAGTTCTGCACTACTGCATTCAAACCATTCCCTTAAGTTCTTAAGCCAGGATATTCTTCGTCTTCCCACATTTCGCTTTCCTCGGATTTTGCCCTGCATAATAAGTTGTAATAATGCGTATTTTTGCCCTCTCATCACATTTCCCAAGTACTCAAGTTTTCGTCTTTTAATAGTTAATATTATTTCCGCCTCATTTCCTATTCTTCTAGTTACTTCCATGTTTGACATTCTTTGAATCCATGATATTCATTGGATTCTTCTGTAACACCAAAATTCAAAGGCGGCCAGCTTATTCAGATGAACTTGTTTTAGTGTCCAAGCTTCCAGACCATAAAGAAGAGTAGAGAACACGTAACATCGAAGCATTCTCAGGCGTAGTTCTAACCTTATATCCCGACAACAAAAAAATTTTTTAAGTTTAATAAATGATGTACGTGCTACTTCAATACGTGTCTTAATTTCTTTGGTTTGGTCTACATCTGATGTTATCCATGTTCCTAAATATTTATAGTTATTAACATTCTCAATTGCAGTATCTTCAATAGTCAGTTGGATATTTGCATGTGCAGATTTAGTCATGATCATGCATGTTTACTTCAAATTTATCTTCAGTCCGTACTCATGACAGCGTTCATTAAGGCGTTGCATTACGTTCTGTAAATCATTGTTGTTTTCCGTAATTATTACTGTATCGTCTGCAAAACGTAAGTTATTCAAAACTTCTCCATTGATAGATATACCTTCTATTGAGTCTGAGAGCGCTTTTTGAAATACCGCTTCACTGTAGACATTGAAAAGTAGTGGGGACAGCACGCAACCCTGGCGGACTCCTCTCTGTATTTTGATATTTTCGGTGTACTGGCTGTCAACTCTTACCTTGGCAGTTTGATTCCAATATAAATTAGATATAATTTTCAGATCACGACTGTCAATATTTTTGCTTTTTAATATATCTACAAGCTATTTATGTTGAACTTTATCAAATGCCTTTTCAAAGTCTACAAAACATAAGTATACATATCCTGATTCATGTCCATGCATCTCTGAGCCAGCACATTCAAGCCGAATTACATTACAGCATTATTTAAGGATGATCGAGGATCACTACCTAACTTAAGTGCAAATACAGGACCATCAATCTTAAAAGCTGAAGTGGAAAAAGCCATACACCAAGCCAAAAACAACAAAGCCAGTGGACCAGATCAAATATACAGCGAATGGCTAAAATTACTCTCAAATGACAATATACAAGAACTCACTGTACTTTTCAATCAAATATATGATACCCGTGAAATTCCATCGGACTGGATAAAATCGATCTTTATTCCTCTACCTAAGAAACCAAACGTTAAGAAATGTAGCGATTGTAGACTCATTAATTTAATGAGCCATGCCGTTAAAATACTGTTGCATATTCTTCTAAACCGAATTAACAACAAGTGCGAAGAAATAATTAGTCAAGAGCAGTTCGGGTTCCGGAGATGCCTTGGAACTAGAGAAGCACTATTTTCTATGCAAACACTCGTTCAACGATATCGGGAGGTAAGAAATCCCGTATATATGTGCTTCATTGATTTTGAAAAGGCATTTGATCGCGTTCAGCATACCAGACCAATTACCGCCTTGCAGAGCATCCAACTAGATGAGAAAGACATCAAACTTATTGCCAAACTTTACTGGAACCAAACAGCCATTATTAATACCAACAACAGAGAATCAAAGCCAATCAGTATTGAACGAGGCGTAAGACAAGACTGTATACTATCTCCCACCCTCTTTAACGTGTATTCTACGAATCTATTTAGCGAAGCTTTAAAAGATCAAAAAGGAATTATCATAGGAGGAGAAATAATTAACAATATACGGTACGCCGACAATACTGTGATTCTAGCTGAAAACATCGA